GATTTATTTTGAATGTGTAATCGAATGTAAAAACAATCTATGCTTTCCTCGTATTGGCCTTTCTCTTACCCATTACGTTATTTATTCACATTTATTTATACTTACCACGTAAGCAAGAAAAAATGCACAATATACACTGCACTCTCACTACGTGTACTACCTGTGGAAACATGATAAATTTGTTTGTTCATCCACACTACAAAGTTATTTAAGATATAAAAAAATACTAACCACGTAAGCAAGAAAAATGCACAATATAAAGTAAATAGCACTCTCACTGCACTCTCACTGCGTGTATTACCTGTGGAAAGATAATAAATTTGTTTATTCATGCACACTACAAAGTTATTTAATATATTAAAAATAAAAAAACATACGAGAACAATGCGATACCACTTAATAAACAAATGTCCATTTATTACTATATACATAACATATAAAGTCACTTTTTCAAGATTGGACAGTCAATTGTGGAACATGGACTGCATTCCGAGTTAAGGCCGAAGCACAGAACAGATAAATGCGCGCATNTGCGTAACTTGGAACGCAGCCATGTTCATCATTATTCATGTCTTATAGACTACCTACAACACAGAGTGATTTCCCTTAGGTAACCAACCAATCAGATTGATCTTATATTAAATAACCAATCAACGAGCGCTACTATGCAAAGAAACAAACGAACACGCGGGATTTGTCACAGTATCACCACAACGGTCTACAATTACAAATAAGTAAGTATATAAAAAAATAAGTATATTATTACATTAAATTGTTATTAACAATATCATTTATTGTAAATTGTAAACTTTTCGATTTTCAGAATTGAGTAAGGAAATAGATATCGAGGAATTCGAGGCCGACTTCGAGGAACAGATACAAGAAATGAATTTGGACAAAAATNTTAAACTTGAAAATCGTAAACTAATGGAACAGTTAAAAACGTTGCAAATGAAATATTCACAACTGGAAAAAGAGAAAAAAGAAACAAAAGAACCAACCACCTCACAAGCCAGTTCTTCACAAAAACGTAAGTACCAACAAACCATATACATTGTTTATATTCATCTCTCTCTTTCTCTGTTTATTGTATATATATAATATATTTATTGAAGAAAAAAAGAAACTAAGTAAAGATAACACTGACAAATTTGCAGATAGACAAGAAAAGCGTATGTACTAACAATTATTTACATATATATGTGTTCTTTTTTTTGGAAAATATATAGAAAAGGTCACCCCCCTCCGATTTCAATGAGCTTGACATATGTTGTCAAAGACACCTTCCTGAGTAACAATCCGTAAATTTTAGCCGTCGCTCGTTGTTAATAAAAAAGTTATGAACAATTGAAGTTTGAAAACTAAGGCTGCTGCTTACACGCTTATAACACGAACAAAAAGAATGAAAAAGTAGCCTTCAAGATATCGTACATACTAAATATTTACTTTACAAAGACGTATAATGTCAATAAGTATGTAGAGGTCGGAAACAAATGTTATGATGTATTTCTCACTCCTTTTTATATTCAATATTGTTTTATATTAAACACGTAATCTCTGATTACGCGTTACGCGTTACGCAAAAAATAACAGTGTATGGGATCACATCCTACTTTTTTCATGTTTTTTATGTTGGTGTTGTAAACGTGCCCCCCTACAATCTAACCTAACCCTAACCTAACCTAAACTTTTCTTTCTGCACTTCCCCTCGCAAAATTTTCACTCATATCTATTGAAGAAAGAAAAGTTTAGGTTAGGTTAGGGTTAGGTTAGATTTTAGGGGGGTGCAGGGNGGCGCAACCCCCCTGCCTACACGTTTACAACACCGACAAAAAGATTCGAAGAATCACGAAGAAAAAATTGTACACAATATCGCAAAATAAAAACTTAGTTTTCAGACTTCAATTGTTCATAACTTTTTTATTAACAACGAGCGACGGCTAAAATTTACGGATTGTTACTCAGGAAGGTGTTTTTGACAACATATGTCAAGCTCATTGAAATCGGAGAGGGTGACCTTTTCGATATATTTACCTTTTTTTTATATAATCTATATATATTTTTGTTGCAGAAAAAAAGAAAATACAAACTGAACTATCCGAAGATGAAGATTCTGCAGATGACAATAAAAGCCTACAAGAAAATAAGCGTAAGTATCACAACACATACTTATACATCTCTCTCTCTCTCTCTCTCTCTCTCTCTCTCTCTTTTTCATATATATATATTTTTTCAGGAATAAGAGGAACAAGAGGCGGAAAAAAAAAGATTGACCTGGATTCAAAATCATGGTTGCGGCCGCGGCCGTGGTTCTCGTGGCTACGGTCGCTCTAATGTGTTTAATTTCTTTTAATTTAGTTATATCTTTTGCTATTTGCTATTGCCACTCGTCACTCTTCTCTTCATTTAGTCTATTTGTTCTGCAAAAAAACATTTATATATATATTAAGTATAGACAGAGAGAGAAAGAGGGGGAGAGAGAGGGAAGTAAGCGATGTGTATGTGTATGTATGGTTAGATAACGTTTATTTTGTAAAATATTGCCATTGGTTTTATTTTAAACAGCATGATTGTAATACATATATGTATGTTTTATTATAAATCTACGACCGATGATCTACAATCATCTTTCTTTCGTAAAATATGTTAAGTTCTTTTGCGTGTTTTTACGAGGTTATGTACAAATATAAATCTTTCTTTTATTTTTCAGAAAAAGAGGATAATTGTTCCACTGCAATTTCCAAGTTTAAGAGTTTGTTCCAGATTCATTTGTTGTATCCTCAATATCCATTTTATTATTCATTTCTGAAAGAAACAAAAAAATGTATATATAAAAGAAAGAAAGAGAGAGTGAGAGAGAGAGACAGATATGTATAAGTATGTGTTGTGTTACTTACGCGTATTTTCTTGTAAGCCTTCATCTGCAGGATCTTCATTCTCTGAAAAAAAATATACGGATATTATAAATATATATGCATGTAAAAATAAAAAAAACTGTAATTGTACTTACTTTTCTCTTTTTCCATTTGTAAATACTTCATTTGCAATCTGTTCCTCGAAGTCGGTCTCGAATTACTCGATATCATTTCTGATTGGTAGCGCTACTTTCAGAATATTTTATAAATCAAAACGCGAAAGAATACCTTTATCATCTTATATCTTTCCGGTTCTTTTCCATTAATCGCAATTCGCACTATATCACTGATTATTCTTATTTTAAGTTGACACNAACATTTGTGTTTTAACATTGATTCATGTCGTTCACTATCGGTTCAACATCTTTGTATGTTAATTGAAGGGGGCGTGTTCCGTTTGACCACAGTACGATTCGACACCGATCGATTCGACACCAAATTATTGGACACAAAATTATTGGACACAGATTTATTC